AGATTTTGCGCCAGAACCCAATCCATTTATTCACTTCAGTGAACAGTAATATACCCCAATGAACAGTAATAGGCCAAAGCATCTCCACCCCTAAAAAAAATAGCTTAGCCCATTTTATTAAAATATTATTATTTTTTATTGTAAAATAATAAAAAATAATAATTTTATTTTTAATTTCTGACTTTATAAAAAATAAAATATTATTATTATTATTAAAATATTTTTATTTTCTCATTCCCACCGCCCTGCACTTCCCTTCCCATTCTTGCACTTCCCTTCCATTCCCACCGCCGCTGCATCTCCACACCACTTCCCTTCTCATCTTCCACACCTCTTCCTCATCCCCACCGTCGTCCACCCCTGCATTTCCCTTCCATTCCTTTCTCAACTTCATCGTCTCTCACCCTCACTGACACACCGCTTGACTTCCGTCTCCTCGTTCTTCCCAAGTTCGCCTCCTATGTAACCCATGTTCTTAAGCATCTTCATTCCAATGCCTTTGGTGTGTTTCTCGAAGACCCTCAAACCCCCATCCCCGCCGCCCTTTCCTCTGAATCCTGCAAATTGGCCTTCTTCAGAACCTTCTGCAAATTGGCTTTCTCAACGTCACCCCAAACTCACCGTCGCCGCTGCCGATCACCATGAACCCCCGGCCCAAAACCCCCATTTTGGAGAAGCAAATCATGTTTCAGAACAAGACACGAATCCTTGACCCGAAAAAAAAAAAAAAAAGTGTATGACATCACGCTGGCGTCAGATGGGCCGGTCCCAAGGTCTGTCAATTTTGGGCTAGCCTAGAAACCAGCTTGGGCTGGGTGCTAATCAATCTCGTGGGTTGGAGTGAATTGGCTGTGTGCCAGCCTATTCCACCTCCGGTGGAAGTGTTTTAAGAGCAAGTCCACCCCTAAGGACTTTGTGCCAGCACTCAGCCCATTTATTTACTCCAGTGAATAGTAACAGACTCCAATGAACAGTAATAGGCCAATGCATCTCCACCCTTAAAAAAATACGCTGGCACCCAGTGAAAAAATGCACTGGCACAAACGATCTCCACCCCTATAAAATGCGCTGGCACCCAGCCCATTTAAAATATTTTTAAATTTTTTCTAAAAGAATAAAAAAATAAAATAGTTTTAATTTCGGATAGGATTTTTAACCAATCTCATCACGCCACGTATCATTATCTGAACGTATTATTTTGTGAATAAATTTCCACTAAGATTTTCAACCAATCCCGACACGCCATGTGTCACTTCCGTTTTACAATAATTTAGCCAATATTTCGATAAGATTTTCAACCAATCACGTCATGCCATGTGTCATTATCCGAATGTACTATTTTGTGGATAAATTTTCGATAATATTTTCAACTAATCCCGACACGCCACGTGTCACTTCCGGTTTACAATAATTTAGCCAAGATTTTGATAAGATTTTCAACCAATCGTGTAGTGCCACGTGGCATTGTCCATAACCTCATCCTTTCTTTTTTTGTCCATATAAACCCTACATCCCTACATTCATCCTCACACCAAGCTCAATCCTTCTTTTTAGCTCAGAATCCTTGTTCATCGTTTTCAAATATTGAGTTCTTATTACAATGTCTTCTTCAAGAAGAGTGTATAAACAGTTGCATGAGCAACATAAAAGGTTGTTGGCACAACAGGCAGAATTGGCCAATCTCGAGGAAGGCGGAGGTGGAGATAAGGCTTTCTTCATGGAGGAGGATGAGGATGATCACCATAGAAGGCAGAAGGCCTCACATTCCCGCCATGTCATGGAAGCCATGGGTCAGATAGCCAAACCAAGACATGCTGCAAACCTCGATAAAGAAAGGGAAAAACGAGGTAAAGATCTATTGGAAGATTATTTTATTCCCAATAGCATATTCCCTGATCATATTTTTAGCCGTCGTTTTAGAATGCAACGAAATTTGTTCGACAAAATCATGAGTGATATTTGCAACCATGATCCATACTTTGTGCAAAAAGATGATGCTTTTCATGTTCTAAGTCTTATTTCCGAGCAAAAAATTACGGCATCTTTGTGAATGCTTGCATATGGAGCATCTGCAGATCAAGTGGATGAGATCACGAGGATGGGAAGAACAACTGTTCTGGAGTCCCTGATGCGGTTTTGCTCTGCAATTGAAGCTCTCTACACCAATGAGTACCTTCAGACACCCACGCCAAGGGACATGCGAAGGCTTCTGAGGAAGGGTGAGATGCGAGGCTTCCCTGACATGATTGGAAGCATCGACTGCATGCACTGGACTTGGAAAAATTGTCCAAATGCATGGCAAGGAGTATATGGCGACAGAAAAGGAGCCAAAAACATCATTTTGGAAGCGGTGGCTTCATTGGATACATGGATTTGGCATGTTTTTTTTGGTGTTCCAGGAGCTCAGAATGACCTAAATGTCCTTGCCCAATCCCCAGTGTTCGACGAACTGCTGCAAGGAAAATCGCCGAGATGCACATATTGGGTTAATGGTACCCAATACGAGGGATCATAATACCTTGCAGATGACATTTACCCAAGGTGGTCAACATTTGTCAAAACAGTGCCACATCCACAAACTGAAAAGGAAAAACACTTCACAAAATGTCAAGAAGGGTGTAGGAAGGATGTCGAGCGTTGTTTTAGTATCTTGTAAGCTCGTTGGGCGATTGTAAGGGCTGCAGCTAGAATGTTTGATGTCGAGGCTCTTCGATGCATCATGATGACGTGTATTATTCTCCACAACATGATTGTTGAAGATAAGTATGATTATGATGTCATCGATGAATATAAGCCGGTTCCAATAAACAACTCAAGAACACGTATCTACTATGCTCATGACCGGACCGAAGATTCAGTGCAACACAAGCTGTTGGAACACGATGGATGTTACAATGAATTGATCGTTCAACGGTACACTGATGTGCAAGAGCCATATTGGCACGTAACCCGCCAGAATGACTTGATTGAGCACCAGTGGGGATTGCATGAAGGCGAAGATAATTAAAATGAGGCTTGTGGTTGAAGAATCAATTGTATTTTTTTTTTAAGTTTATGTAATTCTATGTAGTGTGTTTTGTTTTTAAGTTTATTTGGTGAGTTTATGTAATTCTATATAGTGTGTTTTGTTTTTAAGTTTATTTGGTGAGTTTATGTAATCTTATTTGGTGAGTTTATGTAATCTTATTTCATGTGTTTAAATAAAGTACAAAAATAAATAAATAATTACATTAAAATTGCATAATAAATTAAATAAAAATAAATAAAGTTTTAAAAAGAAAAAAGTAAAAACATAAAAATTACATAAGAAATTAAATAAAGTTCAAAAGAAAAAAAAATAGAAAAAACATAAAAATTACATAAGAAATTAAATAAAATTCTAAAAAAATAAGAAATTACATCAAAATTATACAAAGTCTCTCAAGTTAGGATATGTGGTGCTAGGATCTTGGTTGCCATGATTTGTGTAGCTAGAACCCCCTTGACTTGTTTATGCATCTCTTGCTCGCCTCCTTCGCATGACATCTCTTTTTTCTGATGTCCAAAAATATTTAGAATTCGGAGACAGTCCTACTAGAGACTTGCTCATAGTGTCACGATCTGCTTGAGCCATCATTTCTTCTCTAAGCATTTCAAAATATTGATACGGGTGGAATGCATATAAATTACATAAAAATGACATAAGAAATTAAATAAAAATTACATAAGAAATAAAATAAATTAAAATATTGATATGGGTGGAATGCATATAAATTACATAAAAATGACATAAGAAATTAAATAAAAATTACATAAGAAATTAAATAAATTAAAATTTTGATGCGGGTGGAATGCATATAAAAATTACATAAGAAATAACATAAAAATTACATACGAAATTAACTAAATCAAAATATTGATGTGGGTGGAATGCGTATAAATAAATAAAAATATTGTCACCTGATCCACTAAACTTGTCCCACTACGGAGGTTACCGGAAGCATGAGAGATGGTGTTTTTCCAACAAGTAAAGGATGCGTTGAGTTTTTTCCAACGACCTTGAAGACCTTAACTAGTTCTGGCGTCTTTTCCATGTACATCGCAAAACGCTTTCATAATTTTACTTCACAATTCTCGCTTATCCATCTCATTACAAGTAATCGGGTCATGAGTAGTGTGAACCCAACATTTACACAACGTAACATCTTCAATGAGCTTCCACGAAGACATTTTTTTCTCTTAAAGTGTAGATAATATTGAAATGTGGTGTAAAAGTGGAAGATGAGGGTTAGGTATTTATAGAAAGAAAAAAATAACATTTTAAAAAAATTTATGTATTTTTTAAAAAAATTTATGTATTTTTTAATAAATTTTATGTATTTTTTTTATAATTTTTAATAAATTTTAATATAGCTAATTAATCTGGACCGTTGGATTTGAAAAATATTCAAATCCAAGAGCCAGGGAGTTGCCACGTGGCTAACGATCATATTTATGACCGTTGGGCCTTTTTTTTCTTTTTTTTTTTAATTTTTTGTGAAAAAAAACGTGGACCGTTGATCTGTGATTGAACGGTCCATTTTAAAAGTCAAATTTAAATTTTTTTTACTGTTGGAAATCCAATGGTCTACAAAAAATAGCCGTTAGAAATCCAACGGCTAAAAGTGGGCCACATCGCCTACTCGGGTTGTGGTCTGAGTGCGCTTGCGCGCGGGCCCCGCATCTGAAATGCTGTCGGGCACTCGCGCCACGAGCCCCGTGACATGCACGTGCCAGCAAACGGCCCGGCTTCTTGGTCAGTTTGTTTTGTGTTGGCCCAGAGACCAACATGGGCTGGGTGCTAGGCTATTGCGCGGGCTGGAAGAAATGAACAGGATGCTGGGCTGCTAAAAAAGCGTAAAACGGCAACGTTTTGAGGAAAGGAAAAAGTTAAAAAGAAAACTCTAAAAAAAAACACCTCCAGAAAGCCCTAAAAAATCCCACACTCTGAGATTCATAAAAGCATACAGTTTTTCGAGCTTCTACTTCTTCTGGAACTCCCAAGAGGTTTCAAAACTCGCACTCTCCGCCACTTGGTTTTCATCTGAGCAGAAGAAGGAGAAGGAGAAGGAGAAGTAAAAGGATGTCGATTCGAGTGCTGAATCCGAATGCGGAGGTGCTGAACAAATCGGCGGCGCTGCACATGAACATCAACGCCGCCAAGGGCTTGCAGGACGTCCTCAAGACCAACCTTGGCCCCAAGGGCACCATCAAAATGTGAGCAAAAATCACACTGCTTTTTCTTCTTCTTTTTTTTTTAATTTTTTTTAATTTTTCTATTTTTCTCACATTTTTCTGATAATTTTTCTAGGCTTGTTGGCGGAGCCGGCGACATTAAGCTCACTAAGGATGGCAACACTCTGCTCAAAGAAATGGTATGGGTTTTCGTTTTTGAAACCCTAGATCTTTGGTTCGTGCAGTCATTAGTTGTTTGGAGTGTGCTAAAATTAGGGTTTAAGGATTTTATCGATTTGATCGAAATGCAAAATTCAATAGCACTGTTTGGTTATGTGGAGAAGTTTAATATGTTTTCGAAACTCTCAAAGTTGATTGCTTTTGTTATTGACTTGATTGCTTCAAATGTGAGAATACAGCGGTGTATTCAACCGCGGTTAGGGTTTTCTGAAATTGGTTGTATGCGGTTTAATGTTAAATATGTTTATTATCTTTGGATATGTTTTGCGTTTGTTGTATTCATTGATGTTCTGTCAAATGGTTGCAGCAAATTCAAAACCCAACAGCAATTATGATTGCACGGACAGCTGTTGCGCAAGATGACATTAGCGGAGATGGCACCACGTCTACTGTCTTGTTCATTGGCGAGCTTATGAAACAATCAGAACGATACATTGACGAAGGTTGGTTGCTACAGACTCACTGTTACGGTGTTACCTGTAATAATTTATGGGACAATTTGACCTGGTTCTTCATATAGGGATAAAAGTCTAGATCTTTGCACCTTGTGGTTCTGAAATGTTCCCCAAGTCAGTCTATTTATTTAATTTACTTATTTTTATGTTTTGTGCACTTTGTAATAGTGAGTTTATTCTTGTTCCAGGGATGCATCCCCGTGTCCTGGTTGATGGTTTTGAGATCGCCAAAAGAGCAACGCTGCAGTTTCTTGAGAAATTCAAAACTCCCGTGGTGATGGGCGATGAGCCTGACAAAGAGATTTTGAAAATGGTAGCTAGAACAACATTGCGAACAAAGGTATGTAATATTTTGTTTGTATTATTCTTTCTGTCTAAATGGTTTTGGGCAGAGTCCTAGGTTTTCATGCAGCTCAGAGAAAATGGAATTCTTTTACACATTATATATTGAATATGACATATTCTGTTGTGCAGTTATATGAAGCATTGGCAGATCAATTGACTGACATAGTTGTTAATTCGGTGAGTGTTTGTGGTTTATGTAAGAATATTTGAAAGGTTGCTATTGCACACATGCTTCTATTTTTGTATTCATTCTTGTGGAATCTAGAATAGGTCATAGACCTTTGCATCTTGATGTTTGACAAAAGTGGGGTTTTACAAACGACAGGTTCTTTGCATCCGCAAACCTGAGGAGCCCATTGATCTGTTCATGGTGGAGATTATGCACATGCGACACAAATTTGATGTAGACACACGCTTGGTATGTTATTATCTTATGTCCTCTACTCTACGTTTTAGATACTCCTTATCTCTTGATGAATTCTAAGAGGCAGTTATATGGACATCGGGTCCTCAATCTTCTGCTAAGGCTCTGCAAATGATATGCATATTTTCTGGTGTTACTATTTGCGTCAATTGATGGTTTCGTAATGCTATAGTTGTTTCTTTTGGTGGTAACATTGAATAATAATTTGCGCAGAAGCATATTCATTCGTTCACCTCCTTTCTACTTATGTTGGTGGTTTCATAGTGCTTTAGTTTTTCTTTCTTAGTTCCAAGTACCAATGATGAAATTGTAAATTATGATAGTACTGCCTAGGACCAGTTTAAATTTTAACTTATGAGCATGGTGCAATAGGTTTGGTTACAAAATAGAAGAATGTGTCATTATCCTGTGGTTTTTCATCTCATTCATGTTGTCTTGTAGGTTGAGGGTCTTGTTCTCGATCACGGTTCTAGGCATCCTGATATGAAGCGGAGAGCAGAGAATTGTTTCATCTTGACAAGCAATGTATCTTTGGAATATGACAAAAGGTAAATATAGAGAAATTTGTTCAAATGATTGTTAGATTTTCTCATCAATAGTTTCTCCCTTCCCCCTCTCGCTTTCACACTCATTCTCTTTCACTAACACAATAATGTTAGAATATGTCTTTATGTAACTGCTTTTATCCAAAGGCGTGTTGAATATTGGATATGATTTCCTGATCATTATGAATTTGATGGTTTTCATTTCAGTGAAGTAAACTCAGGCTTTTTCTATTCAAATGCGGAGCAGAGAGAAGCAATGGTTTTAGCTGAAAGGCGCCAGGTTGATGAAAGAGTTAAAAAAATCATTGACCTGAAAAATAAGGTAGAGTGTTGCTATTGATGCTGTTTGCTTGATATTGATTTAGCACTCACCCTAGCGTATCAACATCAACATTACAGATTCTGAAATATTTCCTGCATTGGATGATTTGCAGGTTTGCTCTGGTAATGATAATAACTTTGTTGTTATCAATCAGAAGGGAATTGATCCCCCATCTCTGGACCTTCTTGCAAGGGCAGGGGTAAGTCATGGATCATAATTTTAGATTTCTTTCCAGTTATTTTCCAAGATATATATCAGATAGACACTGCAGATTTTTTATTGGTGTTGCGTTTTGCACTCACTGTGATTCGGTGCAACTTGTTTGGTACTTTTCTAATTCCGCGGTTTCTTAGATTATTGCCCTGAAGAGCAAAGAGGAGAAATATGGAACGGTTGGTT